ACTAAGTTAAATGCTACGATTGCAGAGTTGAGTAGCTGTAGGCCCTGAAACCGTATATCCTTGAGTTGTTCGCACTCTAGTAGTGAGTGGGAAAGGCATGAAAACAGACATTGCAAGGCCATCTGATAATGATGTTAAAAAGAGAAGCAACATGTCAACCACAGATACTAGTCTAGATGCTTTACGTTTGTTTTAGCTTCATCGTCTATCTAAAGTAGAACCAGTGGCCACTGAGTCAATCCTGATTCATGGTGACTCCATGTGTGTCAAAGTAGAACCGGGTGCCATTAAGATTTTCATTCGGTGATATTTTGTAAGTAGATTGCCAGATGTTTCTTCCAAGGTGTTTTCGGTGGATGCTGGCCTCCAATTTTCAACTAGCAAATGATTGGTGAATTGTTTGTGCTTCTCGGGGACTCTGTTGTAACCTTATTGTTGTTAAGTGCCGTTGAGTCAATTCTGACCCATAGTGAAACCATAGGGTTTCCAAAATGCAGCTGGTAAGTTTGAACCACTAACCTTGCAGTTAAAACGACTTTGTAATCTGACACATTAGCCCACAGTGGCACACCAGGACTCTGTTGCAATCTGATGCATTAGCCCATAGCGCCACATACCAGAGATTGTCATTATTTTCATTTTTTCAGATAGGAAGAATGAGGGTTAAGGAAAGAATTTGAAAGGTAGAGGCAAAGTCAGTGAGGTTACTGAAGTGAGGTGAAACACATAAGATCCACTAAGCCTAGAAAAAAAGACTATGTGTATAAACAGATAGATCGGTTATTGACCATACATATCACAATGAGCTTAAGAAAATGAGCCCAGCAAACTTGTTCTAGACTTGCCTCCTAGGTCCATCTGTGTCCTCAGTACATCATCCTTTATTGAGATTTTTTAATTCTGTTCAATTGTAAAATAGGTAGGTAAAGAAAGTTTAGGATTTGGAATCAAAAGATTCTGAACATTGGTTTCAAACCTAACCACTTAATATCTGATAACCAAGACCTATAGGTTATCAAGGCATTACTTCCACTGGCATGTAGTGGAGAGTTCTATCACATGCAATGTTTCCCATCATCTCACTATATTTTTGTTATGTTGAGTACCTCTTATAGATAAGCATCTATGACAGCTCACCTTAATCAAATTCTGGTTTGACTTTGATCTTGTCTCTTACCTATCAAAAATTGGAGTGGTGATAATACCTACAGTTGCTCCTAAATCTAACCTTCTCTTTTACTGCTAATTTCCCTAGAGCTGTTATACATGTGGACCCAATGGGAAGGGCCATTCATGGATTCATGGTTTAGAGTTTCCTATCCTCAACTCCTTTGATTGCTCCTTGAATTTTAGAGATGTTGGAAGTGGTTTCTCTTCTCTTAAGAAAACAAAAACAGTTGCTATCAAGTTGATTCTATCTCACGGCAACCCCATCTATGTCAGAATAGAACTGTGCTCCATAAGGTTTTCAATGGGTGGTGGGATTTGGGGGAATTAGGTTGCCAGACATTTCTTCTGAAGTACTTTGGGTGGTCTCAAGCCTCCAACCTTCCAGTTAGCACTAAGTACTTAATAATTTATACCATCCAAGGAAGGACTAGTATCTTTCATTTGAAGCATGAGGAACAACAGCAACAACAATAAAACAACTTTAATCTTTTTTTAAATCTCACTTTTCTGTGATAAGACTTAGAGAAATGTATTTTTTGGGGATAGAGGACTTGAACCTGTCTCATATTTAAATTCAAACCCAGAAGGGAAAACACTTCTGTGTGGCTATTTGCCGAAAAACTGACCTGGAGACAGTCAGACAGACATTGGTTTATTCTAACTGGGAAACTTGTTGACCAGAGACAGCAGACTTGCATCCAGTAGCAGCCAGCTGGACAGGCAAGATTCCGCATCAAGGGAGTAGACGGTGACCCTTTTATATTGAAGAGTAAACAAGTCTTGTGCGTCCAGCTGTGTGTGGGTGGTGTGCAGCTCAGGAGGGAAAGGGAGTCCTGAAGTACTGGGTTGTTTGCCCAGACACAGTGGATGAGATCATGAGGACAAGGTATTCTGATGGGCATAGCAGCATATGGGGGTGGGAGTGGGGGCAATGGCGGAAGGCAAAGTGGCAACATATACAAAAGTGTTGCTCAGCTTTTGCAACTACATCTGGTGCTTTGTCTTGGGGACTAAAGAAAGATGAGACAAGGTCCAGAGGAGAGGAATCAAAGGTCTACCTAAGGACTACCTTCAGGTTCTGTGTAGTAAGAGATGAAGGAAAGGAGATCATTTCTGAAAAAAGTTCTATTTAAGAATTAAAATGAACAAATAATGCTTCCTATTCCCTGACATTTTTCTGAGTGCCAAAAACTTTCTTAGCATTCTTACATATTTACCATAATCCTCAAAAAGCTGCATAAGATGCACTTTGTTTCATCCATTCTACAGATGACAAAACTGAGGCTGAGGCTTTCAGATACTTTATAAAATCACACAGCAAGCAAGCTGTATAGCTAAAATGTTAGTTTAGTTCCCTGTAACTCCAAAGTCCTTTTGACATGGTATGCTCTTTCTATTTCTATGGGATTAATCATCCCAGAATAAAATGATTTAAAGTTATTCCATATACCTTGAAAGTTTCCAAATCACAATCTTTTTTGTTTTTTTTTTAATGAGTTTTTTGTTTTACATTCCCTTGAGTTTTGAGGTAGTATGGAGTTAATGAATGAATTAAATAATTGATTAGACCCATTTTTCTATTAACATTATAACAGCACTTCCATTAATATGAAAATATGAGCGTGTCTCAGAGAAGGTTCCTTTGACATTATAATGACTGTATTAAAATTTCAAATATAATAATGAAATTCTAATTGTTTTAGAGAAACAATTTAAAAAGGCTATATATAAATACTCTTCAAAAACTATGGGATGTTCATGAAGTACCAAAAAGGAATTTTTAGAAACATTGATATGAAAAAAAAAATCACACACTTTTCATTAAATTGGAGTATAATTGCAAAATAATAATTTAAAAGACTCTTTTGTTTTGAGCATTATATTGAACAAAACAAGAGTTGACAGGTTAAAACATACAATGTAGCAATTTCAACAAAGAATTTTAATCCAGTTTCAGGCTTATTTAAAGCCCTTTGTGACCTTCTTTAAATGACTATCTCAGATATATTCGTCTCCTCTCTCCAACCTTTTGCATTTACTCTATCTTCTGCTCTACCCTCAGGCTGACCTGCATGGATCATATCAACATACCTCCTTCACCTATGGTTTCTATTAGGGTTCAAACAATCAGGGATGCTATCAAAAGATGTGGGAAGGGAAAGAAAAGTAAACTTGTGGTATTTATTTCTTCAGTTTCCTCCCTGAGCTGTCATACTGACTGACTATGTCTCTTGATTGAAAGTCATAGTTGCAGTAAACTTGGCCTTCTCTACACATTCTCCTCCAGGAAACACATGTCCCTTCTTACCTCTAGTTAATTAGTAGCCTCTGAAAACTATACCAGCCTTGAGAGTTTTTTCTACATTCTGCCTAAGAACTAGTTGCATAGATTTGCTCATAGTAACCTCTTGTGTGTCAGAGTAGAACTATCTCCCTAAAGTTTCATTGACTGATTTCTCAGAAGTAGATCATCAGGCCTTTCTTTCTAGACATCTTTGAGAGAACTTAAACCTTCACATTTTTGTTAGCAAACCATGTGGGTTAACTATTTGTACTAGTCAAGGACTCAGGATTCTGAACTCTGTACTTTGATAAACAGTCCCTGTTTTATATGGTCAAATTAACTAATTTAAACATACCATCTGGTATTCTGCCTGAACACTTTTAGCCTGTTTGTGGTGCTATATATGTTTTTCTTTTTGCCCCCCTCCCCATAAAATCATTGAATTGTTTGCATTTGAATAGCAAAACTAACTTTTAGATGAGTCCCATAATTTCCATTTAATTGTAGCAGGCCTAAATTGGGAATGATAGTTTCTCCAACCCAGATGGTCATGAGGACTAAAAACAAGCTGAAAAAAAGTACTTAGGACAATTTCGGCATATAGTAGATGCTCAGAAAATTCAATTTTTCTCTTCCCTTCTTTTCGAATTGCTTATATTTATCAAAGGAAAATAATTGATTTGGGGAAATTGTTAAAGCATGTCATTCTTTAGCAAAAATGACAGAGGCATAGAGTTGCTGGGCTGTTTAGGCAAGAGAAGAGAAGTCTCAGGGATACATGAGTGGTGTTTCAGACAAGCTAAGAGTAGTCGTGAGAAAGAATGATCATACTTACTTGAGTAAACTCCAGGGGCTGAGCTTGTACTAGTGAGTGAATGCTATGATTAGAGAGGTTTTATATTGATGGATAGAATAGCTTTCTTAGCCTTAATGGAGGCAAAAAAAAAAATTACACTGGTTGCCACAGAAAGCCCCCTGAGCTGTCTTGTACTAGAGTTGTTTAAGTCTAGCTTCAGTGCTACTTAACAGGGAATGTAATTCTGGGAACTAAAATCAAAACCAAGATGGAAGACTGGAGAGTCCATCCCTTCACATATAAGACTCATCTACACTATTTTTAAAGAAGGAATCAACTACCTGGGCAAGATTACTGAGTGGTGCTCTTACTGCAAAGCTAGATTTTCAAAGTGAGCCTGATCCTTGGTCAACGCACTTATTATTAGAACTGAACTCTCCATCATCCATTCCAAAGGACATAAAAGTGGCCTTGTAAACTTGAGCTTGCCTTTCTCCAAGTGTATCCCTCGCTATCCTACCACCTCACCTTGGTATCCATATCTATTTTCATTTCATAATAAATTCAATTCATAACAAATTATTTTCATTAATTCAATATTATATTTAAAATATATTTGCACCAGTTATGTGCCAGGCCTTGTGCTGGACTCTGGAGAAATAGCATTCAGTCAAATATTTATTGAGTACTTACTATGTTGTATATCCTGAGGATAAAGAATGATCAAAATGGAATAGGCCTGATTTTGTGTTTCAGGTGTAGAGAGGAGAGAGAGTGAACAGGGAGCGGGGCTTTTGTCTGTTGGTCTCCTTGGACTGAAGAGAGGGAGGGTGCAAGCCCAAGACTGTTAAGATTCTCAAAATGGTGTACCCAGACCTGTTGGTCTGGGTCAATAAAGAGCCATTTCCAAACAACATGGAGGGAAGGCTTCACAAGGGGAGACTTCCTGTCCCCAAAGAAGTGAATCGGAAGAAGGGTGAAGAGAATGCGGCTGCCTGCTTGACTCCACTTGGCAACAGTGAACTCCTTCCCCAGAGAATCAATTACCTCTATTCTTTTTAATCATAACACCTCCATTTGTATTACATCTGGTGTATGGGTATTGATGAGATCATGGTATCATATATGGGATTTTTTTCTGTGTAAATCATCAAGTATAAGAAGAAACTATGGGACTCTGAGCCTTGCTTTAGAGATTTTACAGTGGACAAATAGGTATCATCAAACCAGTTTTTAATCATTCTGACTCAAGTGAAAATGCTCAGAATTTCACACTGTGAATCCACGTTTACAATCCCTACAGGTGGGCCTTCAGGCCTGGTTCGCTACAACAATGTCTTCCATAACTCAAATTCCCTCTGCTCTCACATAACCGGTCCACTTCTGCCTTTTCACTCACACAGCTCCCGACTGCTTCAGGCAGAGGCTGAGAGTCCCCCTATTTTTTTTTTTTTTTTTCATTTAGATGTAACAAACCTAGTAGTTTTTGTTCATCAATTGTCTGTATATCTCTATATTTTATCCATGTACTCTTTTGATGTATAGAAGTAGTTTGAAACTCATTGTTTCCTTGTGGTAAGTGACCGAGATGCTGCCACAGGACCTGAGACACTGATGAATGGTGCTATTTTGGACTTTCAACATGCTCCTTGGCGAGGTAGCTCTGATGGAGTTATTTTTTATTTCCATGTTCTAAGAAGGTGTTGGTACTTTGTTTCCCTGAATGTTGTTCTCTAGACTGGATTGACTTGTTTTCCTTGTGTCTTCAGTGTGGCTTTCTTCTTCAGTGTTGTAGGTTGAGTAAATGCTACCAGAGAGTGTAAGAGACGATGTCTCATGGGTTGGCACTCTTAAACGTGCAATCGCTGTAGCGGGAGCAATCACAAAACTGTAATTTATTTACCAAATCTCCTTCTTTCTGTAGCCTCGCCTGCCTAACTTAGAGAAAGAAAAGCAATAATTTTACAGGCATGTTTAGGTGTCTCACTGGGTTCTTTTTGTCTGAAAGGATACTTGACAAAGGGGCAAACTCTTTTTGACAAATGATCTCTGAAAAAATAATCCAAAAAAAACTGGCATCTTTGTAGGAATATGAAAATTACTACTTCCCCAAAAGTAAGTTGGAAAAATAACTTTATAAATTAAAATTTTTAAAAAGGCAGAGCACTCTTTTTTGGCATATTTAATAAGCAAGGTGTAGAGTTTACATTTTTGTCCTTGCTCCCAATGAAATGGATAAGCAAAAATAAAATAAGAAAATACCATCAACTCATGGAATGTTGTTGTGTTAGCCAGTCTGAAAGCCCACCTTAATTTTTATATGACTGTCCTTTAGCTTTTCCTTTGACAGGACAGGCCCTGCGCTGAACTGTCTGCTTCTGACTGTTAAACACCCATGATGCATGCTCTGCACTTCTTCGTTCTTTCCTCGCTCCCCCATTGGACTGAGTTTCTTGTGCATTGCTCCCCACCCTCCTTTGAATAGGTATATCAGCTGTGTAAATAGAACAAGAAAACAGTATTCTGCATCTGTGGCATTTAAGTAGAATTGCAGTTGTGTACTGCTGAAAACGCAGGCTTTTGTAATCTGTGATCTTTACGATGCACTCACGACAAGTACCCAATGTATTTTAGCTATTTTAATAGGATTTGTTCAATAAAGATGCAAGCTGTAAGGTAAAAAAAAAAAAATGGAATAGGCCTTTGCTTTTATGAAGATTTCTATTAAATGGGAGAAATAATGAGGTACATAATAAGTAAACTTAAACTATAATATTAGGTATGGAATATTTTTGTTGTTAACTGCTATTGGGTTGATTCTGACTCATAGTGACCTTGCATAGGGATTCCAAGTAGTAGATGATGGGCTTGAACTGCAGACCTTGTGGGTTACAGTCCAGTGTTAACTACAGTGCCATACCAGGAGTCCTTGGTATGGAATAAAGGATGTAAAAAACAGTAAGGCAGTGTGGAGAAATAGGAAATTATGGAAGGGGTGTGTTCTTGATAGTGTAGAACAATTGAGCAACATTCTGAATGAGATAAGCGAATAAGCTATATTAACATAGAGAGTGGACTATTCCAGACAGAGGAAATAGTGTGGAATAAGGCCTAGAGATGAGAACAAGCTTGGCTTATTTGAAGACCAATGAGAAGAACTGAGCAGAGTAAGCAAGTATTAATAGTCGGATCATGTAGAACTTTGTAGTCTGTGGTATGGACTTTCAATTTAGTTCTAAACTTAATGTGAAGCCACTGGAAGACTTTCAGCAAGGGAAGTGATATTGACTTGATTTATATGTTAAAAGCATCACTTTTGCTAAGGGAATAAGGAAAGGGGAAAAAAGCATTAACGAAGACAGGAAACTCAGTTACAAGATTGCTTCAGTGGTCCAAGAGAAAGATGAAGAAGGCTCAGGCAGGAAAGGTTGAAGAAGTGCGCCACAATAGCCCAGGAGATAAAAGGTAGCTTAAGGAAGACCAGCAAGGAAGCAACTGAAGTGGTCTATGAGAAAGTTGGCAGAGCTTTGGGGCTAGAGATACAGTGCTGACAAGTGGATGGATTCAAGATATATTTCTAAGGGAGGGTCAAAAGGAATTGCTTGTGGATTTAATGTGGGGTTTAAGAGAAAGGAAAGAACTAAGGTTGACTTCTAGGTCTTTGGTTTGAATGACTGGTTAATGCAGTGAAGGAAGAAAATCGAGAATTCTGCTTTAGACATGCTAGATTTGAAATGCCCATATGTAGTGATTATGAGTTGGGCTATTAACCTGAAGGTCAGCAGTTTGAAACTACCAGGAGAAAGATGAGACTTTCTGCTCCCATAAAAATTTACAGCCTCTGAAACCTTATGCAGGGTCACTGTGAGTTGGAACCAACTCCACAGCACATAATCACTACCAGTGAATATCTGTTAAGCATTGGGCTGCTAACTGAAGGGTGGGGAGTTTGAACCTACAGACACTCTACTGAAGAAAGATGAGGCAATCTGGTGGCATAAAGATTTACCACCTTGGAAACCCTATGGAGCAAGTCTACTTTGACCTATAGGGTCACTGTGAGTCAGAATCAACTATGAAAGCGAAGTGTGAGTGGACATTTATAAGTATATAACTCTGAAATGCAAGAAAAAGGTAGGGTATGAGGTATAAACTCAGAAGTAAGCAACATATAACTAGATTTTGAAGTTCCATGATTGAATCAAGGCATAGAACAAAGTACAGAATACATTCTGGACCTTAACAAGCTCTTAGTCCCTAATAATCTGTGAAGCCCATTTAATTTCACTGTTTCTGTAAGATGTGGTACAGGGTGTTGATCAGGAGACAATGTTGTCTCAGGTTACCTGCTTAGGCTTAGAATCAAACACATCAGGATTTTTTTTAAATAGCATTATATTTTTGTTGTTGAGAATGTACACTGAAGAACACAAACCAATTCAACCATGTCTACATGTACATTCATTCATGGCACTGATTATATTCTTCAAATTGTACAATCTCACCCCTCTTTTCCTAGTTGTCTCTCTCTCTAGTCAATGTTAACTCACTGTCCCCCAACTTTCATGTGGCTGTTACCGATTTTACACACATACACATACATGACAGGGCTTGAAAAATTCATGGAAAATTAGCATGATCTGATCATGGAATTTCCCCATGAACTTTTTTTTTTTTTTAAAGATTTATTGTGAATTGAGTGAAAGTTTACAGGGCAGGTCATTAGTTTTACATTCAACAAATCATATAGTTTCATTACAATGATTATAGTCCCCTCCATGTACCATCAGTTAACAGTATTTAGTTCTATTCGTTTTAGCTATTTTTTGTGTGTTTTTTTAAACACTCAGGCATATATAATAATTTAAACCATCAAAGGGCACATTCTGCAAGTCTGCCTCCTGACTACCAGCTCTCAGTCCCTCTCTTTCCATGAACCTAGAGTCCTCTCTCCATGTCCCCATCTCTGGTGTCACTGCTCCTCTGAATAAGGTCCCACATTCTGACTGTGCTCTTCTCCCTTGATGGGTCTAGGGTCCTCTGTTTCTGGACTATAAGATTAACTATTCCCCCCTTTTTATTACAAAACTTCTACATTTACAATTATGACAGTCACAATTAGTCATGATAACAATTACTCACTGTTGAATCATAAGACTCTTATACCCTCTCTTTTAACCAGACCCATCTAGAAAAGATGAAAACTATTCAGTGGGGACTCTTTCTCCCCCACCTTCCCACACATACTCTTAAACTAAACTCCCTCTTGAAACCTTGTAAGCCAGTCACTTTGTGCCTTTATTACCCCTCATTTTAGATAGCCAATATCTAGGTTGCCCGTCCCTATCTACCCTGTATACAGAGGGGATAGCATTGACACTTGATGTGAAGACTCCATCCCTCTCTGTTGGTATTTTGAGCTACTACCTGCATGAATATCTTTAAAAGTGCACAATGTGCAAGGCAAATTTTCTTTACTAATTAAACTAAACTAAGGAACTCTTGTGGCATAGATGATGGTACATTGAGCAACTAACTGCAAGATAAGCAGCTCAAACCCATCAGTGGCTCTGTGGTAAAAAAAAGTGAGGCTTTCCGCTCCTGGAAACATTAAACATTTTAATGTTTCAGAAGCCTAACTTTTTACACAGGAAAGCTACCAATCGGAATTGACTAGATAGTATATCACTACCACCACTATCACCATTGTTTGAAAGCTTCAGGGGATATTTTTGAATTAAGGTTAAAGATTACCTTAAGACAATAGTTTCAAAGGTTCACCCAGATTCCATGGCTTTAGAATGCCTTGATTCCATAGACTTCGATATTACCTTCTTGTCTCATAGCAAAAGAAGCAGTTGTTCATGAAGACAACTATTTCTTCCTCTTATTCTTAACTTACCTTCTTCTGTTGCTTCAGGTGAATAGAGACCATTAAAATAACCACCAAACACATGAAAAAAGCTCAAGTCACTAGCCATCACAGAGATACAAATCAAAATTACAATGAAATACTATTTCCTTCTACTAGAATTTTTTTTTTAAGTTTTTATTGTGCATTATGTGTTAGTTTATATGGGTGAACATTATCTTTACATTCATCCTATCTTATTTTGTTTCATTGCAATGATCACAATCCCCTGCATGCATCATCAAATAACCAAAGGGTACATCCCACATGCCTGCCCCCTGGCCGCCAGCACACAGCCCCTCTCCCTCCCTGAGTCCAGAGTCCACAGCCACGCCTTCTGTCCACGTCATCATCTCTGCCTCCATCCCTAGTGTCACTGCCTCTCTGAACAGGGTCTGGCACTTAGATTTTCTCACTTGATGGTTCCAGGGATCTCCTCTCCTAGAGTGCAAAACCAGCCACTTCCCTCCTTTTGTTACCAAACATTTACATTTACCTTTCCAACACTCACTGTCAGACCTGATAGCAATCATTCCCTATTGAACCACAGGAGTCTTTTCCCCTTCTCCTGTTATCAACCCCATCTAGACAGGTTGGAAACAACTCAGTGGAGATTCTACCTTTCCATATCCTCTGGAGCTAGGTTCCCTATTGAAAGCTTGTAAGCCAGTCACTTCTTGCCTTTGTAGTACCCCCATTTTGTGCAGTCAATGGATCTCTGTCGACCCTGTGTACCAAGGGTGTGGGAATCATCCTTACAGTAAAGATTTGTCTGTTCCTGTGTCATACTGCATCCACAAGCATAGGTCAAATTCATCCAATTGTAGTGGGTTACTCTTCCCCCGCCCCCCTTCTTTCTTCCTCTAGTCTTGTTCTGATCATCCAGGCATTGATGTCAGGTCAAATGGGTACTATCTGCAAGTGTGGGTGATCTTGTGCCTCTCCCCTCACTTCATATCTTATCATATCCGTTCTAGTCCTCTGGGGCCATGTCCCTGCCCCTGAGCCCAGGAGTCCCCAGGTCTCCTCATACTGCTGGTTAACAAGGTCTTAATTGTCTATTGAATGTGGTTGGACTTAGTTCACAACTTCATTGCTGTTTTCTCCCCACTTTATCTTATCAGTGACCAATGTGGTCAGCAGCAGGACCACATGCCTGCTAGTGTATTCCATTTGAGTTTCAGTCTTGGAAGGGGATTTGCCTTGAGGGGACCTGACAACTTGCCTCGATGGCTCCCTGGGGAACAACTTGCTTGTTCTTGTAGTAGTCAATTGGACTGTTGTTACTGTTTTTTATTTTTCCTGCTTGTCTTTCTTTCAAGAAGTATCTATCTTCTGTTCTAGTTGCTCCAGACCGGTCTGCTTGTCTTTTCAAGTGGAAATGTCCTACCTCAGAGGATACTAGATGAATATCAGGATTCCACCTATGGTCTTGTGCAATGCAAAGGCTTTGCAAGGAGAATCCTTCACTGGGCAAGTTCTAACCCCACTTTAGGTATTCCAATCAGATACAGGCTGAAGACAGACTTACAAACTTTCTCTGGTGATGTTTCTGGCTATTCCTCTCTCACCCCTTCAGGTGTCTATTTTGCAATAGTAGGCAAGGAAGCCAAGATTCAACAGATAGCCAAGTATCTTAATATCATTTCCCCACTTTTACCCTTTTAAAACATGCCTCAATCTTTGTATCCATGAGCCCTGTTGTTCCACAGTTGTGCTTGCATCGTTATTTACCTCTCTCTTATTTAGCCCAGGTAAACCTACCTAGCTATTCTCCCAT